AAAAAAAAAAAAAAAACTTTATCAGTCAACCTACACAGTTTGTCATCAAAAGAGCTCCTGAAAATATGAGAAAGAGAGAGAGGGAGAGAGAGAGAGATAACTGAGAATCTTGCGTATGAAAGTTAAATGATATTATATTTGGAATAAGGAACGATCTATGATTCATTAAATATCTAATGACCTACAATAATCATAGTATTCCCAGATGTCAAATTGTATCTGCATATGATTTCTTAATTAGAGGAAGGCACCACTGGGAAAGAAGGATGTGGGAATTGACAACTGGTGCCACGTGTATCTCAGAATTCCCTGGAGAAAGAGGAACCACTTGGAGAGCTGAACAGGAATGCTATGAGGTAGAGAAATCTCAGAAGTCATATTACAGGAGAAACTCTATTCTAATTTCTAGTATGTGTGAGTGACTCCCTGGAAGGCACGAAGGGTGTGCCTTCCTATTCCTTACTGTGTTATATTTCAGCAGAAATTCATATTATATTTACACTCAGTCTTACCTTGATTGTTTCTTTCATGATAAGGATTAAAATACTTTGGATGATATTCTTTAAATCTCAACAAACTTTCATCAAATAGCACATGAAATAAAATAATAACAAAATATACGGTCAGAGGTATCTGCCTATTTATATAATGCACAGCTCAAAATAATAGAAATCAGTCAACCATAGAGTAGACAAAGTAAAAATTCAGATTTTGTTCTGTCATAGAAAATTTTGGCATTATTATTATTGTTGTTGTTATTAATTATTATTATTTAAAGTTTTTTTTATTTATTTTGAGAGAGATTATTAGTATTATTATTATTATTATTTAAAGTTTATTTATTTATTTTGAGAGAGAGAGAGGGAGAGAGAGACCATGAGCAGGGGAGAGACAGAGAGAGAGGGAGAGAGATAATCCCCAGCAAGCTCCACACTGTCAGTGCAGAGCACAACGTGAGACACAAAACCATGAACCATGAGATCATGACCTGATCCAAAATCAAGATTCAGATGTTTAACCAACAGAGCCACCCAAGCACCCCTGAAAATGTTGGTATTTTTAAAAGTTACCTCTTCATAAAATTTTTCCTTGGTCATCACAGTGCACCTTGATTCCATAGAAATTAGAGATTTATTTTCAAAAAATTGATTTAGAAATAGAACATTATAAAGATTTCTTTCAAGTTTTAATTTTTTACAAAGTCATTAAACTTTCACATGTTTTGTCTACCATAAAGAATTTAATACCTATTAGATAAATGTGATTTCTGTCTCTTGCAAGGTGGATTATACATAGATTAACCTCCTGATTTCAGATCTAGTAATAGTCACACAAATGGACTTTCTTCCCCTTGTCGCTATTTTTGTTTTTATAGCAGTCTCATTGAGACATAATTTACAAGCCATACAATTCACCCATTCCAAGTGTACAATTCAATGATTATAGGATATTCACAGAGTTGTACAACCAACACCACAATCAATTTTAGGACATTTTCATTACCCCAGAAAGAGACCTCGTGCCTGTTAGTACTTAGTAGTTACTCCTCATTCTTCATCAACACCTCCAAACCCCAGCCTCAAGCAACCAACAATCTCTTTCCTGCCTCCCTGATTTCATCCATTGGGGCATTTCCTGTAAGTGTATTTATACAATATGTGTACCTTTGGGTCTGATGTCTTTCACAGATCTGAAACTTGAACAGTTTTATATTATAAGTCAACGAATCATCTTTTATCTTGTCTGTTTAATAACCTTTCTCTGATAGTGCTTAGCAGAGGAAGGAGGAACTGCCTCATGACTGCCAGAGGGAAAAAAGAAGCCCAGATTCCCCACTCGGTCTCTGTTGACGTCTCTGGTTTTCAGTAGCTCTTTCGATGACAAACTGTATAGGTTGATCTGTGAAGGTTCTTTTCATGGGGTTGATAGATATTCCTGAGTTGTACCGTGTTCCTTTTATTTGTCTAATCACTGCGGTCAGCAGCCTTTGGATGTTTACATGAATCGGGACAACACTCAATATATTGTACGGGCATACCTTGGAGATAGTGCAGATTACTGCCACATTAAAGCCAGTGTTACAATAAAGCTGTATCACACTAAATCGAGAGAAACAAATGTTTTGATTCCCCAGTGCCTATATAAGTTGTGTTTACACTATACTAGTAAGTATGCAATAGCATTATGTCTAAAAAACAATGTACATATCTCAATTTCAAAAAATGCACTAACCATTATCATCTGAGCTTCCAGAAAGTCGTAATCTTTTTGGTAATGGAGAGTGTTGCCTCCATGTTGGTCGCTGCTGACTGATGGGGTGGTGTTGCTGAAGGCTGGAGTGGCTGAGGCAATTTTTTTAAAGCAAGATGACAATGAAATTCACTGCCTCAATTGATTCTTTCTTTCTCAGATGAATTTCTCTGTAGCATGTGATTCTTTTTGGTAGCATTTTACCCACAGTAAAACTACTTTAAAATTGGAGTAGATCCTCTCAAACCCTGACCTGACTTTATCAACTACATTTATCTAATATTCTAAATCCATTGTTGCCCTTCCAATAATCTTCACAACATATTTACCAGGAATAGATGCCATATCAAGAAACCACTTTCTTTGTTCATCCAGAAGAAGCAACTCTTCATCCAATACTGAGGACGGGAGGAGTTGTAGTAGGATGAGGCAATCCAAAAGGAAATGCTGACCGGATACAGTTCCTTGTCCTTCTTCCTTCTGCAGTTAGCCAACATTTCTCTATTCGACCCACCTCACCTCCATTAACTTTTTTTTATGAGATTGCAGCAGTTCAAATATAATGATAATGAAAAAGTCTGAAATATTGTGAGATTACCAAAATGCAACACAGACACAAAATGAGCAGAGGCTGTTGGAAACATAGTGCCAATACACTGCTCAATGCAGGGTTGCCATAAACCTTTGAGTTGTAAAAAAAAAAAAGTAGTATTTGCAAAGTGCAATAAAGTGAAATGCAATAAAATGAGTTATGCATGTTCTGTATAGGCATTGACATTATGCATTATTAATAATATTACAACTATGATAATTATTATTACATTGTTGGAAATAACTTTATAGCATTGGCTTATTATCCCTCTGAATGATTGTAGTATATATTTTAAATTCATAATTCCTGGGGTTTTTCCCTGTTTATGGAGAGAGATTTTTGTTAACTAGTTGAATATGCCTGGCTTGTCAGTTATGAACTAGCAAAAATAAAATCATTGGAATATATTTTCAAATGACTCATGGGCTTTGAGAATCCCAGATTGCATCTACTGACCTTCACAGTAGTAGAACTCAAAAATACATTGAAGAACCTGGGTGGCTTAGTTGGTTAAGCATCCAACGTTGGCTTAGATCATGATCTCAAAATTTATGAGTTTGAACATGGCATTGGGCTCTCTGCTGTCAGCACAGAACATGCCTTGGATCCCTTGTCCCTCTTTTTCCCTGTCCCTCCATCACTTGCACTTTCTTTCTCAAAAATAAATAAACATTGGGGTGCCTGGGTGGCTCAGTCGGTTAAGCATCCGACTTTGGCTCAGGTCATGATCTCATGGTTTGTGAGTTCAAGCCCTGCGTTGGGTTCTGTGCTGACAGCTCAGAGCCTGGAGCCTGCTTCAGATTCTGTGTCTCCTTCTCTCTCTGCCCCTCCCCAACTTGTACTCTGTCTCTCTATGTCTCTCAAAAAATAAATAAATGTAAAAAAATTTTAAATAAAAAAATTAACATTAAAAAGAAATGTTTAAAGAACTCAAAAATACACAAAATTGTACTTAATTTAATGTGAATGCAAATATATTTCCCTCAGATTTATTTTTGTTTGTTAATGGTAAAGGCTGGTATTATTAAATGAAGGAAAACTATCGAATCACTGAGTACTTACCGAACTAAGCCAGTAAGTGCGTGTCAAATTACAGAACCTGATTTTTAAATGTATTCAATGGAATTTTTCTAAATTGTAAGATTCCAGTATGTGAAGTATTTTCTTGGCATTTTCGTTTTGTTTTAAATCTTGAATGAAGAAAAAGAGGATACTTAAAAAGAGAGAAGGTTTTGAATTTACTAAATTACTCTTGTTTAAATTTTTTAATGTTTTATTTATTTTTGAGAGAGATAGAGCATGAGTGGGGGAGGGGCGGAGACAGACAGACAGAGAGAGAGAGAGAGAGAGAGAGAGAGAATCTGAAACAGGCTCCAGGCTCGGAGCTGTCAGTACAGAGCCCGATGAGGAGCTTGAACTCGGGAACAACAAGATCATGACCTAGGCTGAAGTCAAACGCTTAGCCACCTGAGCCACCCAGGCACCCCTACTAAATTAGTCTTTAAATGATCCTATACTGGGGACTAGAACTGAAATACCTGAAGCAGAAATCTTGAGGCTCCTGTTATAATCTCAAAAGTAGTCATTGGGCAGCCAGCTTCCCTCTTCAGAGATTAAGACATAGAAAAGAAAGAAACATGGACCAAATAACAAGCTTTGGAGTGGAAAGTTCTCATTACATTTGTATGGAGGTGCCACTAATTCTGTACCCAAATTCCAGTGTGTGTATGTGTGTGTGTGCACATGTGCACGTGTGTGTGTGTGTGTGTGTGTGTGTGTGTGTGCATGTGGTTTTCCCACATTTTTTTTCCTCAGTTAAATCTTTATGCTATTTCCAGCCAGAACACCACATAGTGTTGGTGAGAACTAACAGCCCCCGGCATTGCACAAACAAGTCTTGGCTGCCTGTTTTCCTCTCTTTTCCTTTTAGCCCTCCTACTGTTCTCTTTATGTTGCAATCCACGCAGCAGCAATGGCCAGCCTAACTCTGTTGATGCTGGTGGCAAGAAATTTCTAACAGCAGAGAGGAGTCCTGCAATTCAACTCAATATTGACTCCCTCTACCCAGAGATAGTGTCAGATCCTCCGGGTTAAGGGTTCAGTCCCACAGACTGCCCGCCCCCCTCCCGTCCCCCACTTCAGATGCCAACTCCATGACCAGGTTGTTTATTGTGACTCTGACCAGCTGAGTCCAAATCAGAGGTTCCAATGACCCCATTCCTCACGGTTAATACATTTGTTAGGGCGGCTCAGGGAACTCAGGAAACCGGTTTATTCACTCCAGAGAAAGTTAAGGCATAGAAGCAAGCCTTCATGAGTATAAAGAAAGAAAACATATAATATATATGGATTTAGGTCAATAACAGTTTCAGATATTTGAATAAGCATATATACATAGGACAAAATATACATGAATAAATGCAAAAACTAAAATTAATTTATTAATTATTTAGGGAAAGCTCATTATTGCATGTTGATGATTGTAACTATCATTTTCTCAAAATGAGGTCACTCATATCTAAGAAGAACAGTAGACAAGTAGCTGCTGTTTGGAAAATATCACTTGAAATAACACCTGTCTTTTTAGTCACCAGGGAGATTTTCCCAGATTTAAAATTTAATGCAAGTTTTGGGGTGCCTGGGTGGCTCAGTCAGCTGAACCTCTTGGCTTCCACCCGGGTTATGATGTCATGGTTTGTGAGTTCAAGCCTAGCATTGGGCTCACTGCTGTCAACAGAGAACCCACTTCAGATCCTCTGCCCCCCTCTTTCTCTGTTCCTCCCCTACTTATGCTGTCTCGCTCTAAATGAAAAAAAAAAATACATACATACATACATACATACATACATACATTTAATGCAAGTTTTACAAATAAAAGAAAAATGTATGCAGTTACCTTTCTGGGCAAATAATTTTTAAGTATCTTAGAAGAACCCCTAATTCTTTATATCTCCAACAGTATATGTCTATTTTTTTCTTTCCGTTTTCCAAACATCAGAAAATACGCAATTCTAGGAAGTGATGAAATAAATTTTGTTGAATTAATTTTATTAAAATTGATGCAGATACATATCTCACATGAGCTAAGCTTTGTTATCTGTTCTAAAATGCAGTTATGAATTCAATCACTTTCTACAAAAGTAGAAATACTTTTGTTTTCTCATGTGAAAATGAGTATGTAGAATATATGGTTTGTACTAAGAAACTACAGTTAATTAAATTCATGCAAAAGTTAGTTAAGTAAAGAAGGGACTGGTGGACTGTTGTACAATTCACAGGGACTTGAAATTAACAGGGGAAATGTTTCATCTCTATGGCCCTTTTCACAGCATCCTTTACCTCTTTGTTCCTCAGACTGTAAATAAGTGGGTTTAACATGGGAATCACTAGTGTATAGAACACAGAAACCACCTTCTCCTGCTCCACAGAATACTGGGAACTTGGCTGAATGTAACTAAAGCTTAAGGTACCATAGAATATGGTCACAGAAGTCAGGTGAGAGGCACAGGTGGAGAAGGCTTTCTGTCTACCTGCTGCTGAACTGATCCTCAGGATAGTGATAAAAATGAAAATGTAGGAAATGACCACAATCAAAAAAGTAGCCATGGCAATGACTCCAGAAAAAGTTAAGAGCAGCAACTCATTCTTGGATGTATCAGAACACGACAGCTTTAGCAGTGGCGGAACATCACAGAAGAAGTGGCTAACAACACTGGACCCACAAAAGGACAGTCTTCCCAAGCTTATTGTGTGTATCAATGAGTTGAGCACTCCACCTACGAATGACCCAGTGACCAGCCCTACACACTTCCTTTTAGACATGACTACACTGTAAAGCAAAGGGTTGGCAATGGCCACATAGCGGTCGTAGGCCATCAATGACAGCAAGAAGCCTTCTGTGGTGATAAACACCCCAAAAAACAAATGCTGCACTATGCAGGCAGAGAATGAAATGGTTTCCCTCACAACCAAGAAGTTGATCAGCATTTTCGGTGCAATAACAGACGAATAGCAGGCATCTATAAATGAAAGGCAGCTTAGGAAAAAGTACATGGGTGTGTGGAGCTTGGGAGTGATTTGGATTAAGAAAATCATGCCCAGATTCCCTGCCAAGGTAATTGCATAAATCACCAAGAACAACACAAAAAACATGATTTTCAGGTCAGCATTATCTGTCAATCCCAAAAGAATAAATTCAGTAACAGCTGTGAAATTTTCTTCGGCCATTTGTTAATTCCTTATCTTGAAGTCTGATATGAAAAAAAAATAAAGGAATTAGAATGAACAGGACAGTCTGGCATTTAGTAAAAACAAACAGAAACATGTTTAGAGTTGTGTCTTTAAATAAATCATTTTGCTGAATCTAAGTCTACTCATTTATAATAGCTGGAGCTTTATTAAATTGTTTCTTAATTTTTTCAGGGCTACTTATGATTCTATCCCATAAGAAAATATTGAAAAAGCATTTAGACTCTCAAAAATTTTAGTCTGTTTCTATAGTGCCCACCTCAATAGAAAGAAAGGTGATACCAGAATGAGGGACACTGATGGCAAGTGAAAAGAATTTGCAAAGTTAAATTTAAGCTATGGTCTCAACTCTTCTTATTCAGACATGAAAGAAATAAATTACAAGATCTAAGGCAGGGGTTGACCTTCAAGCTGGTGCCATGATACTTTTCAAAGTGCATGGATCCCTGGCCTCTTGTGATGGCTTCTGATGAGCCCTTGGAAGGACACCCCCAGTGAAATCACCTACTCTGAGACCCAGGAAATCACTTATCACTACTGACTTACTGACTTTGGCAAACTCATTTATCTTTTCTCAGACTGCATATAATTACATCTACGTCACATGATTATTGAAAAGAAAATAGGAGATATTGCAAGCAAGATGCTAAATATTGCTTTGAGTGTGTAATAAGTACTCAAATTACAGAAAAAATAGTAAGATATATATAACAGAAAAATGATAGATGTAGATTAGATAAAAGATAGATGATAGATGATAGATAGATGGATAGATAGATAGATAGATAGATAGATAGATAGATGATAGGTAATAGATGATAGATATGTAGGTAGATAAGCAATATATTGATAGGCAATTGCTATGTGAGTTTCTTTAAGGGAAGATGTGGACAAATATAGATCATGAAAAAAATATTTTAGTCAACCAATTTACCTTTCCCCAATTTTTAATATCTGGCTCATTTTATTTAAAATGGCATTTAAATGTAAATGTAAATGGATGGTTTAACATTTCCTTTGATAAATTACTGGCCCATAAATTTTCACAATTTCTCAAATGTTGCTCAGAAACTATCAATATATTTGCCACAGTGCATGAGTGCTTTCAACAAATGATGTTAGGCCCAGACTTTTCATTACTGAATATAACATTAGTCTATCACGTCCCAAGTATCCTATGCAGTGTGATTTCATGAAAATATTTACACATAAAGTGAAACTGAATTAAATTTAAATTATGTGAACTAGTCCTCATTCAAGTGCTCAAGACCCATATGTGACTGGTAGTCAATACAGAAATTATAGACATTTCCATCACTGCAGAAAGTTGCATTGGTTAGAATTCTCATGGAACTGTCTGCTTCTTCTTTTCAGAACACCAACTAAAAAACATTTCTCAAGGAAAGATTGTCTATTGTAAACAGTTTTCATCATGAGCATACTTAAAAACACAGCACTTCCAAATGGAATTTAGAAATTCAATTATAGGGCTTATTCAGAGATACCCATCCTCTGCAAAATTTAAGATGATACTGAAGCAGAATTGAATAAGGTGTTGAGTTAGATGACATAATCTCTAATATTCTTAGCACTCATATGATTCTACGAGACTTAAAACAAATTTTTTAACTAATCTAATTATGAGGAAATTCAAAGAAAAAGAAAAAAAGCTTACAAAACTAATTGAACTTACCAAAAATATTTTAATCTTTCAGCTTTAGAAACTCTGTGTACTTTTCCATGTTTTTTTATTGGTGAAAAAGAGTTTCCGTTAATAATTATGTGATATACAGAGTTATTATATTAATAGTACGTATCTAAAGATAACTCCAGGTAAAATAATTGAAGGCAAATTTTATCTATTAATGTACAAGGAGCAGAATAACAAACTAATGAACAGTTTTAACATATTTAATACTTTTCCTCTAAGAGGACAAGTTTGTGCAGAAAGGACATCTATATATATACACACACTTGACATTGGCCTCTAAGGAGATCTATGACAGCTTGAATGTTTTACAGTAACTTAGGACACTGTCTCTCAAGGGAATATACACTTTCCCATGATTTCTCTATCTCCATAAAGTGTATAATTAACTAAAATGCTATTAATAATTTAAGAAAACATCAAAAAAAGATGGGGAGATTTTTGAAATTCAGTAGCATATAATAGGAACAATAACTGAAGATAAATCTGTTCAAAAAAAAGTGAATTACCTAAATGATAAATAGAGGTTTCTAGGCTTGTTACAAACTTTGTCTTTTTTCTTTTTTTTTGAAGTTTATTTATTTATTGTGAGGGGGGAGAGGAAGAGAAAGAGAGAGAGAGAGAGAGAGAAAATCCCAAGCAGGTTCTCCACTGTCAGGGCAGAGCCCAGGGCTCTCCATCCCATGACCTATGAGATCATGACCTGGACAGAAATCAAGAGTTGGTTGCTCAACCAACTGAGCCACCCAGGTTCCCCCGAACTTTGTCTTTATGCAGATGTTCAAGACACTGACAAATGTTACTACTTTAAAAGCAATGTACACACACACAGTAAACAAGCAAATTTCTGATGGTTAGGACACCTATCTCTATTCTTGGCTTAACATGCAGAATGATTTGGAAGAAATCCTGCTTGAAATCCGGCTTAGAGTCAGTGCTCACACTCACCAAAGTAATGTTTGCTGATGGATGATACACTCTAGGCATTATGGTACAAACTAGAGATGAGGGGTTATCAAAAATAATGGAATATTCGTTTTAAGAAAGATTGGAGAATAAACATCCTCCCAAAGACACTTACATCAGAGGGGCGCCTGGGTGGCGCAGTCGGTTAAGCGTCCGACTTCAGCCAGGTCAC